TATTTTTAATGATATTGCTTTATATTTACAGATTTTTCCTAAAGGAACATTTGTATCTTTATATTCCTAGTAGCTCTCTATTCAAGAACATGGTATGCTTTTCCGTTGTTTATATATTCATTTGAATCTCTCAGTAAATTGTTCACATAAATCTCACACATTATTAGATTTATTCCCTATGCACTTTATCTTTGTTGTTGCTGTAGCTATTGTAAATGAGGGTCTTGTCTTTGATTATAACTCTAACAGATTATTGTCCTTATATTACTTGATTTTATATCCAGATCTTATTGAATTCTGTTACTGTTTATAATAGTTTTTTTATTGATTCTTAGGTTTTCCAGTTAAAAAAATGATTACCATGCAAAGAATTACATAATTTCTTCTAGAGTAATTTAAATAGTGGTGATGGTAGATGTCTTTGTCATTCTAATTTTTAAGATTGATTTTAGTGTTTTCCTATTAAGTATAATATAATATGTATTTAGGTGGAGATATATATGTATATATATGTGTATATATATATATAATGTATATTTTCATAAATCTATTGTTTCATCATGTTAAGAAAATATCCTCCTAGTACTGTTTCATTGCACTTAAAAAATTACAAATACATACTGAATTTCATCAAATGCCCTTCCAGCATTCACAGATATGATCATACGGTTTTTCTGTTTAATGTAGTTAATTATATTAATTAATGTCTTACAGTTAAACCATACTTGCATTCATGGAATAAACCCCACTTGGTCATTTTGAATCGCCAAGTTGTTATTTTATTGACTATAAAAACCTCTCGCTAGAATTTTATAATTTTAGATGCAATCAAGGGGGGACAAATGCTATTCTCATACATGATTTCCTTTAAATTCATATATATATATATATATATATATATATAAAATTTCATTCAGAGGGAGAGAGAGTGAGAGAGTGAGAGAGAGAGAGAGAGAGAGAGAGAGAGAGAGATACAAAGTAATCAGCATCAGAAATAAAATTATGTGTAAATGTCTTCTGAACATCCATGGAATACAGAGGTGAAATAAACCAAGCGATGGCTTTTTGGGGAAGGCTGAAGAGGATGTGCCCCTTTGTGAGGGGTGACGGTGTTCACAGCATCATTGTCTCTTCTATCAAGGGGAATCAAATAGGAGATCTAGAGCTTGGGCCTTCAGTACCCTTCCCAACAGTATTTTTCATTCTCCTTATGACTAGTGCTTTTATTTATTTATTTATTTNAGGTAGCCAGCCACCTTTCACCTGGTGTGTCTTTCACCTTCAGCCTGCTTCGCCACTGACCTTGTCCCCCACCCCACCTCAGCTTGGTGGCCACCTCTAACCCTGTTTAGCAAATGCCTTAGGGGGCCGTAGTTTGTCCTAAAATACAGGGAGGTCTCTGACTTTTGGAAGAAGAGTCACTCAAAACTCCTTGAGTTGATAAAGGAGAAGAAATTAAGCAGTCTCCTACCTTGTTTTCTCTAATCCTGTTTTTCTGGTATGTCTCTCCAAGACACCAATTTCTTGTTTTTTGGAAATTCGCATTCCTCCAGCTTTTACTATAAACAAATAAGCATCAACATGGAAATCATGGTTAGAACCGCAGGAGAAGACTTGCTTTGTTACTCAAGGTATGAATTTAGATTTGAAGGGAATTTTAGATTTTTTTTAAAGATCTACACTTTTATCTAAAACAGCAAAATACAAAAGCTACCCAGTAACCACGTAAGAGAAGAAAAAAAACCCATGTTTTATGCAAACAAGGTGGGGAAAGGAAGAAGCACTGAGGTTTGTTTATGTTCAGAGAAGGGAACTGAGGTTAAAAAGGCAGCCTGTTACATCTTCGATTTGGGGAGGAGAATAACAACACACTCCCTTAGGCATTGCAATGAAAAACATTTTTCTTGTTATCAAACCAATTACATTCTTCATGATAGCAACTGACAATTACAATGTGACCCTCCTATTTTCCCACAAGATTAAAGTTTGTGCAAGGCTTGCATTTTTTTTTTCCAGCTAAAGCTTTCAAAAGCCAAATTCTGAGCATGAGCCAAAAGTCAGGGCATGCGGTGATAACAGGCATTTTATTCAACAGAGATGCTTCTGATCCCACCATATACCCACATTTCATCCTAGACCCTGAGCCTGGAATGTTGGCTAAACTCAGATATTATAATGAGTAATTAAACTGCATAATAATCCTGCCATTCAAGAGATCAATTAGTGTTAATTAGGCTACAGATGACCTAACAGCAATTCAAGTGTTTAACAATGTCAGATAAAATCAACTTTTGAAAACGAACAACCCATTTCAGATTGCAAATCAAAGCAAATACTTTCTTCTGTTCCCAGGAAATTTGCACATCTGAAAACTGACAAGCTCAAATGAGAAAAAACTAAATGGACATTGATTTGTTTGAACCTATTAATTCTTTTTATGGGGATGTCAAATGGGCACTTTTCTAAAACTAGCTCCAGTAAAGTAAAAAATAAGGAAAGCCTGTTTTATTTCTCCATGCCCTTGTGATTTGACTTCGCCATTGTTCTTTTAAAATGATTATATAATTTGTTTCATTATAATACCTGTATAAAGCACACAATTCAAAAAGCATGAAAGGTCTGCAGTCTCCCTCCTACCATTATTTCCCAGACCCCAGTTCATCTCCCTACATACTGCTAATGTTATAAGTTTCCTACATATCCATCCACAGATATTCTAATGTGTCTACTTACATATCATTTTTTGAATGGCAGTATATGATATACATCGTTCTGCAACTTGTTTGTTCATATTCTTCATTCAATCATATATTTTGGAGTAAGTTCTATTTCAATACATATATAGAAATGTGTCTTTCTTTTTAACATCTAT